GGCTGGGGATTCGAACCCGCCACCTTAGGTGTGTGTGGCTGGCGCCTTAGCCGCTTGAGCCACAGGCGCCGAGCCGTATTGTTCTTACTATCCATAGCACTTACCAATGTTGCCTGTGAGGCCCAGGCAGCATGATCCCTGTGTCAGCATCTCTCTCTCTCTTTTTTTTTAATTAAGGATTTTGAGTTATCTACTACATTTTCTTTTCTTTCTTTTATTTTTTTTTTTGAGACACTCTCATTATGTCGCCCTTGGTAGAGTGCTGTGGTGCCACAGCTTACAGCAACCTCAAACTCCTGGGCTTAAGCGATTCTCTTGCCTCAGCTTCCCAAGTAGCTGGGACTAGGGGCACCTGCCACAATGCCTGGCTATATTGTAGAGACAGGGTATTGCTCTTGCTCAGGCTGGTCTCACACTCTTGAACTCAAGCAATTGACCCACCTTGGCTTCCCAGAGTGCTGGGATTACAGGTGTGAACCACTGTGACCGGCCCTTCTTTTTTCTTTTTAATTGAAAAATCAAATTTATATCTATTTGTGTAATACCATACATTTTAAACTATATACACTGTAGACTAGCTAAACTGAACTAATTAACATATGCAATACCTTACATACTTACCGTTTGTGTGTGTGTTGAGAACAGTTGAAATCTACTGTTAGTGATTTTCAAGTAGATTACACAGGATTTACTGCAGCCACTGTGTAGTACAATAAATCTCTTGAATTTACTCTTCCTAGATGAAATTTTATACCCTTTGATTAACATTTCCCCAATGCTTTCCAATCCCGGGGAGGCTCCTCTTCTACTCTCTGCTTCTGTGAGTCCAACTTTGCCCTTCATAACTACCACACTGTATCCCTGTACCTCACACTGTGTGGATAACCACAACTTGACTTACCTACAAGAAACTTCAGGACAGACTGCTATGATGATGGTAAGATATCACACAACTTACATTTTCTACCAAACTACAGTTACGTTTTATATCTTTCTTATGCTCAAACCATAATTAGTGTTCTCTAATAACAGCAAACTTCCCAATGGTAAAGGAAGCCATTACAGTAGTTAACATAGCCATTTCCTCTGTTGCAAATAAATGTCCCTTTACTTAATGTTAAAAAAAAAAAATCAATATGATGAATGCCTCCCTCCAATGATCTTGGTTCAACCAGCAACTCTGAAAATGGAACTCAGATCTTGCCAGATACTGTTTTGTAGCAGAATGGAAAGGGGTGTAAAGTGCTCACAAGTGTCCCAAATGCAAGACCTCAGTGATATGATGAACCTGAAGGCAGTGGCGCCCCCAGACCTTGGCCCTTCCCTGGCTTCTGCCTTGTAGACAAGAGCTCCTTCCATGCTGTCCTAAGAGCATCCTTTCCTTTTCATACCCATAGATATCAAGATGACCCCCCCCTAAAAAAAGTCCAAAGAAGTAGGCTGGTATAGTAAAGTAAATTTGTCAATTTATTTTATTTTTTTTTTCATTTTTTTAATTCTTTGCCACTAGAGCCCATGTCTCTAGATACAAAGTCATCAAGATTCCTAGCACCGCAGTGTTGGACTCAAAATAGGCACTGGATAAATAGTTGTTGAGTGAATGAAATCAATTTATGTGAGTGTGTAAAAGTATGTGCCTGTGGGCCTGTTCACATGTGTACAAATCAGTATTTGTAAAACTGTAAGCTAATGAATAAATTGCTGGCATCACATATGACTCAAGAGTTCAGTAATTAAAATGTTCATAGAAATTAATTTCAACATTAGACGTAATTATAAAAAGCATAAGGTGTCACATGAATAAGGAGCATTAAGATTAAGGTTCATAAGGCCATAAGGAATCTTAAAAGTTACCTAGTCCAGCTTTCCTTTTGGACCCATACTTCCTGGTCCTAGAAGGAGGATAACCTTGCTTACCTTCAACAATGAATTTTCAGCAAAGGTGCCAAGATGTGTCATAGCTAATTGATGAGGGACTTTGGCCTGTTTATGGTTTTAAATTACATCAGATGGCTCAGATTATAAGTGAATATTACCAACTGCAATATTCATTGCACATTTCATCAAGTTCAGGAAGCACCATTTTACAGGATCCAAAGCCATGTTTCCTGATGTCCACCTAGCTACATACATGTGTGCACGTGTGCTTACACACAGAAATACGCACAGAAACAGAAGTTTCAAGGGATGATATCATACAAAGTGCAATTAATTCTCATACTTTCTATATTATTTTACTCTTTTTTAAAAAATACAGTCACAACCCACTAAGTTGGTCTCATGATCCAATAATGGGTGAGGGTTTTCATTTTGGAAAGCACTGAAGTCAAGTATGTGTGGGCATTATTTTTATTAATAAAAGAGAAAAAGCAAAAACAATACTGAGTAAAATGCTAATTTCCTTTTCATTCCTAATTTATATAAGCCATTTAATGCTTTCCTATCCAGCTCCAGTCCTAATTCTTTTTTCCCTTTTACATAAACTTTCTTCAAGTTCCTATAGCCATTGACTTGATATCCTAATTTTATATATATGTACATACATCTGTACATATTTTATGTACAGATGTATATACATGTATATATGTAAATACGTGTGTATATATTATATATT